AAAATTTAATAATTTTCAAAACCTGCTACGATGTACCATTCTAGAAGCACCATTACTACTGTTGCACCTTAGCTTATCGACCAAATTTCGGTTAAAGGCATTCTGAAATTGGCTACTCAAGTGAAATAGTCTGTTGAACGATGCGAAATCCATAAACTACATTTCCTTACTCATTCACTCAGTTATTACTACCAGTACTCTCATACTACTAGTTCCCGACAAAACAGCCAGACGGTGACATGGCGATTAGAGGTATGAGATTTCAAAACAACTCCAAGTACAGTAATACTGCATATGAACTCAAAAATGTCGACGATCCTAAACAACTACATTAAACGTGGTGTCGTCAGCGGAACACTTGAACACTGAAAGTAAACTATCAAAATAAATGACAAGCTCGAAAATAATCTTACAAATTAGTAACTATTTTTGCTCTCGGAAACTACCACCCTCGTTATCCTAGAAAACCCCCTTACGCTACTACCAATCAAAAAGATATTATAACAAAATTCACAGAACTTAACCAGCAACTTGGTTAATGAATTGCGAAGAAAATTTCCTTCTTCTGCATGTACTCTTTTTCGACAACAACAGACTGGTCACACCCTGAATGAAACAGCTAACGTGTCCACCGCAGTGTGTAAATGCTGCTCAGTGAAACATTTATAATAATAACCGCAAATCATCTTTCATTACTACCACTTGACAAATTCCGTTACATCAATGTTCCCTTTCAAGGAGTTCCCACTTTGATAACTGGCGAATTACTGTTCTGACGACCCACATATTAAAACCCTTCATTTGGGAAAAGAAAAAAAAAATGAAAGAAGGAAAAGAGAAATGATGGTGAACAAAAACTTTCTTGAACAATCAAAAATTCAACAAAACATATGAACCAAGCAATAACTTTACGGTGTCATAAATAACACAAACAACGATTTGGTAACATTCGACTTTTAAAAAAACAACAGAAGAAACACCAGCTGATCTTCCAAACTCAACACATTGACTACAAACACACAATTCATACACGCCTAACAAGCAAATAAAGCGTCTTCCCTTAACAGTTGAAGATTTTCTTTCCCAAGCCACATGGTGAACTTAGTACAGCATGTAAACTATAAAACATCTCAACAAACTGATTGCAATACTTTAACAATAAACGGCAGTATGCAAATCCCATACCATTATCAAGCACAGCAAAATTCAAAATATCGAAACAATTCCTATCATTTTTTAACAGCATTAACAGCTCCAAAATATTATAAAAGCACTTTGTACCATACAGTAACCTAACTTTCCCTACTCTGCATATACCAAACGACAGATGACAAACAACACTGATACTGATATTAAAAATAGTGACGAAAAAATGAAGAATTTTTTGCAATACGGATACACAATCAGGCCAAAACCTTTAAAATTGAATTGTACAATATCCAACTAAGTAAACAGTGAAAAAAAAAACAAACAAACAAATACCAATAATTCACTGAAAACATACTGCCCATGAAACTCCCAAAAAAAAGAAAAAAATACGATGGTAAATGTAAAATGGACAGCAAAGTGGAACTTATTTCACTACTGAATGAGTTGCAGACGAGAACACTCCTCAAAAAAACATCTTTTGAAACACTTTCAAAACACTGTGCCCCACTACTACTAAAAAAGATTACTAATGGCCCACCATTACATCTTAAGCAAATTATATCACGTACACCATTACTAGCACTCCTGATCAGTAATTTATCGCTTTAGTAAACCAAACAGTACCTACTGTTATCCCACTTACTACTTCATAAACTGACCTAATCAAGCGTACCGCTGCTCAGCAATTCACTGA